TTCCTCCCATGGCGCTACCACTCCGCTCTGCACGTGCTTCTCCGCCTGCTCATTGACGAAACCTGTGAACGCCTCCGGCACATGGTTCGGGAGCTCCACTGGCGTCAACTCCGAACCTTTGTTCCTCTGTCCTTGAAATCCCCTTCCGTATCCGGGTCAGTAAATTCTCTGATATCCACAACTCGTAACCATCTGAGGTACATCGCCCGCTCTTCGTCGTCGCAGACTGTCAGAATCTCGTCCTGCCAAAACTATACATGGTACGAGATCTGTCCTGGGACGAAATCTTCTTGGCGCCATACCGGAGCTTGGTCCGGCGTGACGGGAGGTTGTTCGTGTTGTAAAACGTCCTGTACTAGGTCGACATCAGGGCGCTGAACGTGTCGCTCGCTGTTTCCGTCACCTCCAACGGAAGTGGTACGAATTTTCGCGACGCGTCAAGCTCGCTCTCGCAGAAAATCATCTGCCCCTGAGCCCACCTGTCATATTGCATGTCAGGCCTTTTTTTTTTTTGCCTTGGTGTCCGCCTGACCGTGCTCGATCATGTAGCGAAATATTAACTATCTAGCGAGCCAAGCGCCCCTTGTCGACCAAAGTCCAAGCCAAGAAAGTGCAAGGTTCAGAGGTGTCCAACATTCACTATGCGAGCACTCAAGCCTACGGGCTATGTCGTAAACATCGTGTGCACGAAAAGGAATGGTTGTCGCTTTTTGTTATGTGAACCACTGCGTGATGTGTCGCTATCCGGTGCACGCGTGCAAAGTACATGTTGTCGTGCACGACGTGCGTGCGTCGTGTGGTGTGGTGAGGTTCTCAGCACCTGCCCCTGCCCGACCTGTAGCCGACGGGGGCCTCTGTGGCTCGCAAGCTCCCGCATGCATTCTCGCATTCTCGCATTTTGCCTCATGATTCCTTTTTTTTTTTTGAACCGCCAAACAAAAATGTAACCCGTGTCGTCGTGTACCACAACCATTGCATATCTTCGTCGTAATACCTGCCGACGTCATGCCTTGTACTTCATTCGGGCATTCATGCTTAACGTGCCCCGACATGCCGCACTTGAAACACGCTTGCTCCGGGCACGTCCTGAAAGAATGGTCAGCGGGCTTTTCCCATCTGCGAGCATTTACCACAGACAGCGGCACCGTCTCTCATTGCTCCTTTACCAACTTGGCCAACCCGATGGTTTCCGCCGAAACCACGACCGCTAAATCATTGTGCGACAGCCCGTAGTGCCCAGCTCCTCCGAAACCCCTGTTCGTGGGCTGTGCGTACTGTTGCGGAACCGAGGGAAAAGCGGGTGCTACGGCATGGAACGCCGGCATCAAAGAAAGTGGTGGCATGCCACCTGCCATCAAGCCTCCAGCCGCCCGAATTGGGCTGCTTGGTCAACCCTGCCTGTCAACGTGCCTCCTTGAACTTTTGCGCAGAGCCGCGTAATCAACTGCGCTGCTTTTCTCTGATGAAGCCGCCAACTCTTGATACAGCGCTATGCATCCTACGATTGGGTCCTGTACCAACACAGAATGATCTATCATGGCCACCAACATGGTCGTGAACTCGCGCTCCTTCTTGAATGTGGTCACGTCTTGACCTGCAAGCTTATCAAGCTCGCGTAGCTCAGCGCTCATTTGAGTTATCAGCGTGGCGCATCCCCCGGACCCAATGTGCATCGCCCTTCCGAGGTCCAGAACGTACTCCATGATGCGCGAGAACCTAGCCGACCACTACGTGCCGCATAAAGTACCAACCAGACAGGGCATGCGAAAAGAAAAAGGAAGACATGTGACGTCATTGAACGTGCTGTGCAAGTGCGTCGTGCCCGACTCAACAGTGTGTACCCCCCACCGGGGCTGTGTGTGTTCGTCCCTCGTGTCTGTACCGCTCGTTAATCGCGCCGTATGCCTATGACGAGCAACGACGCGAAACCTCGCTGTGTAAGGCCCTTGTTTATGGTTTCCATATCTTTATCTTCCTTTCTTTTGACAAATGTTGACTTTTTTCGACCTTTTGGGCAATCTGCCTCCCGAACAAGTGCAATTCAGCTGTTCGACCTTTGAGAACAGTCACACCTTTGGCTGAGATGTCTACAGATCGCCCACATGTTTCACCAGGGTTCACGTTTGATTTTTTTCCAGCAGAGCAAGATGTTGAAGATTCGGCCGAAAGGCCACCTCGGAGCAAATCTTGGGCCAAGATCTGTCCAAAAGCTGGTGTTGGAAAAATCTTGGGTGAAAATTGCGCACCTTGAAAAAATCAACCGTGAACCCTGGCGAAACATGTAGGCGATCTGTAGACATCTCAGCCAAAGCTGTGACTGTTCTCAAAGGTCGAACAGCTGATTCGCACTCGTTCGGGAGGCAGACTGCCCAAAAGGTCGAAAAAGTCAACATTTGTCGAAACAAAGGAAGATAAAGCTTTGGAAACCATAAACAAGGGCCTAAGCCCTTGTATATGCGTGCTCCGACCAAATACGTGTGCATGCGCGTGTGGTAACAAGTCTCCCACATATCGCTGTGGGTAGGCGTGCGTGGGTCTCAGTGTGCTGTGAGGTACTTTGTGTGTGCGGGGCCTTTGCCCATGTTGTACCGTTCGTGCGTACCCTGTGCTCTGCCGTTCGTGCCCGAAGTTGGTTCTGGGGACCTTCGACCATGTTATACCGTGGGTGCGACCCCGGTTCGTACCGTGCGTGCGTACCCTGTGCTCTGTCGTTTGTACGGTGCGTGCGTACACTGCTTGTTTTGTTGTTGTTTCTCACATTAGCTCTATAGTCCACAAAAAATGGGGAGCCCGTGGTCTCAAAACCCGGCACATACGACGCCGCGGGGAAACAAAACACTGTGCTCTGCCGTTCGTACCGTGCGTGCGTACTCTGTGTTCTGTCGTTTGTACCGTGCGTGCGTACACTGTGCTCTGCCGTTCGCACCGTGCGTGCGTACCCTGCGCTCTGTCGTTTGTGTCCGAATTTTCTGTCCGGTACGCGCGTATGTGCGTGTGCCTGAACTCGGCTACAAAGTGCCTGCCGCCCTGGCGCTCTTCTTACGGCCGACAGGGCACGTGCTTGTACTTGAGGGGTTATGCATTCGCTCCCCGTGTGCCGCCATGCATAAGCATACCCCACTGAAATACGTACGCCGTAAATCACGAATATCTATATAGCTTCTTCCAAAGCACGAATATGTATTAGCCTCTTTTTTTTGTTTAAACCACCGCTGCTATGGGTCCGCGGATGAACTGGAGCGGCTCGTGAAAACAAATATTTGTGCAGCGTTCGTCAACGCGCTAGTAAATGCCGTCAACGCCACCTACTTCTACAGCAAAACATCGTTTTCGCGTTATCTCGCGCGTGTGACGACATTGGTAATGCGACTGGTGCAGCCGGGGTGAACAGACGATCTCAAAGCAAAGCGCGAGTGGCCCCGCCGGACCCAACAGAAAAACACAAGTGCCCCAAAATCTCAACATGGTCCCTGCGCGACGCGAAAAATCAACGATCGAAGACCAAACACACCGACGGCTCTGCCTCACACCTCCAACTGTACTGGCTCCTCTTTGACCAACGGATCGCCGCGCCGGGTGGCATGTCTCGCGTTAGATCTGACGCCTCATGGCTCACTTGTCCGAGGATAACGTACGTGAGCCCCACAGCTAGGAATTGTGCCGACCTCAAGCGACAGGTCTGGTGTACAGTGCATGCGAGCGAAGATGTTTTGCTTTCCCTAACTCGCGCCGAATGCGCCTCCCTACAGGCAGGCCGTCGCAAAGGCTCACACCCACGCAAAAAAAAACAAACTCACCTGCGCCTGCACCGACACGAACGGACGATCTCCGCCGGCGCTGTCTCCTGCTGCCATCCATTTGGAGTCCTCTCCCGCCACCGAACTGCCAGCCGCTCCTTCCGCTCCATCCGTGCGGGCCCGCTTTTTAGCGCCCTCCTCGTCCTCCGGGTGGCTCCCCGGTGCTACTACGGGCCCTGAAGTCGCGGTCGTAGCGGTGGCTGCGGAAGGTTAAGCGGCTGCTGTGGCGACTGCTGCTGCGGGTGCGGGGGGGGAGGCGGGCGCGCCGGCGGCCGGCGCGGGGGCCCACCATGCGAGCCGGCAAAGACATAGCGACCACTGCTGTAGCCACGGGAGACAAGAGGAAAGACGCTGCGGCAACAAACCGCGTCGGTAAACACAAGACGGCACTTGTGGCGTGCGCCGCGCTGCTACCAAGCCCTCGGTGTCAAACGGCCGGGACGCCCCTGACGAATGAACTGCTGCGAAACGTGCTCCCTCTTTCCTTCTGTTTGCCGTGTCGGCACTTGGTTTCCCAAAGAAGTGGGAATGGGAGGCACCCCTGCGATACGTGTGCTTTCGTGTGCGAACGTTACTGGAAAATGTTTGGAACATTTGCCGGACCGGTCTTCATGATACATCCGCTTGGTACATATTTGTATGTTTTTCTTCTGTTTTCGCGAAAGCAAGGAACAAAAATCGTTTTACCATGCTTGTGTCGTATTCCCGTGTATCTGAGACTGGCTGCTGTGAAGGGCATGCTTTGAATGTTTTGTCATGGACGAACAGATGATGGGGCCGGTGCCGTGTTGGGTGCCGCATCTGAGCAAGACTTTGGAAGCAGATACCATGCGATTCTGCACCTACACAGCAATAGTATAGGCTCGCAACACCCCGGAGAGATCGTACCGGATGACGTCGTATAGGTTGAACATGTGTATTTTTGATATCCCATCTTCTCTGGACGTCAAACTCCAACTTCCGTCACGTGACATCTCGACATCTGTATGGCAACGCTCGCCGAACAGAGTGCCAAACAGTTATTCTTGAGTCAAAATCCTCATCCCTTGCTCCTCGTTCCTGCGTTAGTTGGTTCTGTTCCGGCTGATCTATACGACCCTCGGGTACTTGTACTCACAGCAGTACGCCAGCGTAGCAGGAAGCCCCTGTTTTGTTTTTCCCAAACTGTAACTTTCGTACGAATATTAGCTTCAGTACGAATCTATGCGTTCCTTCGTGTTTAAAGCGTCGGTAGTCGTTGGTAGCCGGTGTGCATGGCTGCCGCAAGTGTTCCTTTGGTTTGCCTTTGTTGCACTAAAAGCGCTAATAGCACGCAACGCACCACGGGCCATTCCACAACGCTATCTTGGGTTATGCATGGTCCTTTGATTATGTCATATATTCGTCGTGTCATCTCTTCCTCCCCCTCGCTTCGTTTGCTTACTGTGCGCGCATCCGGCGGCCCTGCCTCTCTTCGGCGCTCGCGAAATGCCTCGACAAAAAACACGGAACATACGACCCCAAATCGAGCAGGCTGCACAACCCCACGGTAACAATCCAGGACACCAGCATCGTTTTCGCCTTCGCCGGTCTCGGACACTCCCTCACCTCACCATTCGTGGGCTTCCTGCAAGACAAGAAAAGGCTAGGGTTACAAGGTACCGCCGTAGTCGGCGCGAGCCTGGTGGCTCTGGCGACACTCGCCTCCTCGATGGCGACTTCGGTGTTCGAACTCGCATCTCTCAACGCGGTCTTGGGCGTCGGCGTAGCGTTCGCGTGAGTATTTGCTATTTTTCGTTGTTAAGCACAAAGTCGTAACGCTTCTTTGGGGCTGGGCGGAAGTTGCATTTACCTGCTGGAAGCGCCAGGTGTATTTTTATTCAGAATTTGTGCTGGTTCGAAATGCCACACGCAGCTCGCTCTCCCCGTTATTCCATAACAGTTACACGTGCCCGCTCGTGAGCGGCTACGCGCTGATGCCGGATCGGAAGGGCACCGTTTCGGGCTTTGTGGTAGCGGGCTTCGGAGCAGGCGCGGCCGTCTTCGACGCGGTGGCAACGGCGGTCGTCAACCCCAGCAACACCCCTCCCGACCCCGCCACGGGCTACTACGGCGAGGCAAGAGAAAAGTAGATTCCACAGGCGTCTGGTTCACACCTCCTTGGGTGGTTCAAGAACGATCCCAATCCGCATACTTGATTTTTTGTCGCGGCGGCGGTCGTTCGAAGCACGTAACATGGGGTCCCAACTTTCCCATCAGAATCCTGACGCCAACCCTAAGCCGGACTTGAACGCTAACGCCACCGACCTTCGAATCTCGGCCGTGACTTCTCGACAACCCGAACCCGCCTACACGAACCGCATCGAAGGTAGTGGCCGGCCAATTATGCTCTTGCTCCCGTAGCACCACCGTCTTACGACACGACACCGCTGACACTACTCCGTCACGCTGCCCGACCCCCCAGCTTCAACGCTAACATCAATATGTACCCCTGTGGCATCCCGCTTGGGCTCGTCTACGCTGCGTAAAAACAGGACGTGGCCGGTCGCGTTCCTTCGATGTACATGATTCTGGGATCGTGCTACCTTACGCTGGGCCTCTTCGGGTCCTGGATGATCGCAAACCCTCCAGACGATGATACCATAGGTCGGTTAGCCATTTCATGGGACGCTTCAGACTGTGTAGGGCTAGGGAGAACCAACCCCTATTGTATTGACCTTGAAAGCGCTCTGCGTGACCGAAACGCTCGTTGATGCCCATCCGCACTTTGCAAAAACCTTTTCGAGGCTGAAGGGAACGAGGGTCGTTCACCGTGCTCCTTCCCTTGGTGTGTCATGGACGAGGTGGACTAGGTGGGGGGTATACTCATAGTCGTGCATGCCGTAGTCGTTAGACCATTGACCTCGCATCCCTACAATGCCGGGACGGAGCACGCCGGGTTCTCACCGGACCAGGCTCTCACATCACCAAGCGCGAAGCGCCGTGAGGTATTCGGCGAGTCGCATGAAGGATGCGCTGCATCCTGCTAAGGGTGTTCGGCATCTTGTGCTTACTTCCTTGCGTACGGATGACAGCTGCGTATGACTTAATTTATTTTCTGGTGTTTTCACTTCCTGAGACAGTTGTAACCACTGAGTAACTGCCTCGAGGGTGCTTGACCATCTTAACACAACGTGGTGCGATCATCCCCCTTGCGCGGAGTGAGGGTTCTCCACCCCGCACAACATGATCTACTCGACCACCATTATGGTTACCGCCAAAAAAAGCACCAGAGGTATAGAAAAAAAAACNGCCGGGACGGAGCACGCCGGGTTCTCACCAGACCAGGCTCTCACATCACCAAGCGCGAAGCGCCGTGAGGTATTCGGCGAGTCGCATGAACGATGCGCTGCATCCTGCTAAGGGTGTTCGGCATCTTGTGCTTACTTCCTTGCATACGGATGACAGCTGCGTATGACTTAAACACCGGGGGGGCGGCGGCTTGCTTTACAACGTCGTTGCCAAGCGACGAAAACCCAACCCCGATGGTAAACACCGGGGGAGGGGGACTAGGTGGCAGGTGTTTTATCTGCATTCATTTCCTAGCACCCGCACATACAAATTTGGCTACTCCATGCCACTTGTTCAACTGCCATCCCGTTTTGCTGTTCCTGTTGACGTTGGTCTTGAATGGGGGCACCTAGCAATTATCAGCTTTTTACCCGCGCGCGACAGCGAGGCATTGGTTTTGTTCATCCTTTCCCCATTGACGCACATGAGCATGCTTCTTGCTCTTCCTGCTTTTCTCTCAGCGCCTGTTGCTTGTGTCTACTGGATGAATCTCTCTCGCTGCCTCTCAATTTGTTTTTGTCCTTGGTCTCCGGTGAAAAAGTGTCTTCCCAACGATACGCGCGCGCCTCTTGCGACGCCGTCCGCTCTTCGGCGAACAGCGACACCATCTGTGGCAGAACTAGCAACACGAGCGGAATCGCTCACCGCGGAAGGACTCCCCACCGCCCTGAATGCAGCGAAGAGAACAATGGTGTATGCGAGTTGAGAAACGCCGTCGTGGGAGCGCAGCCCCGACTAGCGTCTCCAAGCTCCTCGCCGTTTCTCGCGATGGAAACCGGCGACGAGGAAGGACAAGTACAAGGCCAAGAGCAGGAAGGAGATCGACGAACGCACTTCAACCCGATGCTGCCACCGAAGGGCGTCAGCGCTTGCAGCTCTGTCGCCACGGCAGCTGTGGACCCACTCTCCCCCACAAAGAACGCAACGTTGGCAAGAGGGGGTGGCGGTGGATATGCACCCATCCGACAGGAGCAGGAGCGCCAGTACAAGCCTAGTGATTTGGAGGCAAAGAAGGTCGCCACCAACAGAAGCACAGCAGCAGCTGCTGCTGCTGCTGCTGCTGGGGAGCGACAGCTGGAAGTGTGGGAATTGTTGCGGGATATCGATTTCTACCACCTCGCGGCGACGATGCTGTGCACGGCGGTGTCCGGGTTGTACATCGCAGGTACTTGCAATGTATTAGTATTTCTGTGTGCAAAACATATATGGACACGACCTTTCGAGAATGAGGACTTCGCCCTCTAGCATGAGTATTTTCGTTCCCCGGAAATATTCCAAGGGTGTATTTGGTACGGTACCGGCATTTTCGGTAAGGTATTGACATCGTACCGAACACTTCGGTAAGGTATTGAAGTCCATACCGAACGTACCGGTATTTTCGGTAAGGTATTGAAGTCCGTACCGACCGTACCGAGCATCCCGGTGGTATGACAGTTCATACCGGTACCGTACCGAACATCTCGGTATTTGTACCGAACGTACCGGTATTTTCGGTAAGGTATTGAAGTCCGTACCGAACGTACCGAACACTTCGGTAAGGTATTGAAGTCCATACCGAACGTACCGAACATCCCGGTATGGTATGGCAGTCCATACCGGTACCATACCGGCGATACCGGTATTTGTCCGGTATTCCTTCCGAGCGGCACCACAAACTCGTCGACAGCTTGCAATGTCTCCGCCGGCACTACGTACTCTGTGTCGCCCGTCGTGTTGTAGGCAGGAGGAGCAAGCCGTATCACTGGCGTTCTGCTGCCTCCTCCACCATCCACAACAACCTCTGCCTCAGCAGGTGCTGGCGCCGGCGCTGACGATAATGAGCTTTGGTCGCCAGCTGCGGGGTCATCGTTGTTGTTGCTGGGGGCGGGTGGTGTGTTGCTCATGAGGGCGGCTGGTGCTGGTGCGCACCACCAGCTGTACGCTGTGCCGATTGAGTAGGGTAAGCCGGTACACGCTGTGCTGCTGGTCTGCTGGTGCTGTGCGTGTGTGTGGCGGTATCGGGTGAATGTCATGCCTAACTTCCCGATTAGCCCGATACCGGTACGCTCGGTACCGCACCGGAACCGGTATTTACATCGTACCGAACGTACCGGTATTTTCGGTAAGGTATTTGCATCGTACCGAACGTACCGAACACTTTGGTTAGGTATTGAAGTCCGTACAGAACGTACCGGTATTTTATTTAAGGTATTCAAGTCCATACCGAACGTACCGAGCATCCCCGGTATGGTATGGCAGTGCATACCGGTACCGTACCAAACATGTCGGTATTTGTACCGAACGTACCAAAAACTTCGGTAATGTATTGAAATCCATACCGAACGTATCGGTATTTTCGGTAAGGTATTGAAGTCCGTACCGAACGTTCCCAGCACTTCGGTAAGGTATTCAAGTCCATACCGAACGTACCGAACATCTCGGTACAGGTATACCGGAGGTATAATGCCACTGGTACGCCTCGGTATGTACCTCACCGAACACACCTTTGAAATATTCAAATGAGTCGTGGCGGTCGTCCACCAAGCAACAGCAGTATTCCCTCATCAATATCATACCTCACCGAACACACCTTTGAAATGTTCAAATGAGTCGTGGCGGTCGTCCACCAAGCAACAGCAGTATTCCCTCATCAATCGGTTTCACATGTTTTTGTGTGATTGCCGGCTGGTGTTTCCCCCTCGCGATGGCTATCGTGTTTTGAACGCTGTTGTCCACTGCGGTGGTGCGACTACATCCGAATGGTTTTCAGCGCCCGCGTATTTCAACAGAACCCTCAATGGTGATTTTTCGACCGTATCTTTGTGCGCACGTGTCTTCGCTGTACAATGTTGCTGTGACTCATACCTATACAGAGGAGGCCGAAAAAACGGCCGACGTTTGAGTTGGGACTGGTCTTCAGAGCGATCAGCAGCCAATCCAATTTGCTTTTCCGCGCAGTTTCGGCTCTGCGTGGGATTCGGCGTTTCGCGCAGCTGCATATGCTTCAGAGTACTTCATTTTGAAGTGTTGAGATGATAAGTCAAATTTTGCAACCATTGCGGTACTAATCGGGTGCAAGCCACAGCACTTCTCTGGCGCGGTAGCAGCATCAAGGCTGCCTCAAGGGAGGTTGGACTCAAGACAGATGTTTGAAGTCCTGATTTGTGAAGGTTCGGACGATGCCGGCCCTACAGAACCCGTACTGATCCGCTTTTTGCAACGCTTTCGCATTTTCGCGAACGTTGTGCTCCGCGTTGTTGGATTGTTGTGTACTGAAGGCAACTACAAGGGCATCGCACGAGATATTTTCCCAAACGCCGACCGCTTCCTCAGCATCCTGGGCAGCGTCGCGTCCCTGTTCAACGCTTCGGGTCGCGTCATCGGGGGCTTGTCCGTGGATCGGTGCGATGAGATTAATTTCCTCTCCCCCCCAAAGTAGCCCCCTGATTCTTCTGTTTGCTTCCGCTTTACACTCTCTGTTTCGCGCTGCTGGCGTCCGGTGTTTATTCTGTTCCTGCTACTTGATTGCCCTGTTCCTTATGCTGTCTGTTGCTGATCCTAGGCGCTTCGCCTTGCCTTGCCTCGCATCACCATTCCCGATGCAGGTTTGGGTGCTTCGCAACTTTGTTGGTGCAGGCTGGCTCTGCAACGTGCTTGCTACTCATCCTTTGCCTGGTGCAGGCCAACAGGCCATCGTTTTTCGTGGCTATCTGCCTCATGCACTCGCTGTAAGTCAGCACAGCAGTCGGTCTCACGTCGCGATATTCCCGTGGTATTTCACGTACCAACTGTTGCAAGGCGTCTCTTTGAAACTCTTAAAAAAAGTCCTACGTTGGCATGCACTCTCAGTGGCGGCAGGCCAACCCGGCCAAGGTGAACCGGCCGTTTGTTTTGTGGCTGTCCTCGGGTGCTTTCGCTTTGGTTAGGGTGGTAGAATCATGTTGACATTGTGGGTGCATCTTGTTGCGGTGTTCCTTCCGTGTTCGTGTCAGGTTCGTTTTGAGCCTTTGCGTTTGGTGATGCCCCGTCTCCCCTGTTTCCTGCAATTCTCTCCTGGCCACAAACTGATTCCCCCCCTCCTGTTTCATTCGCTTTTGGTGTGTTGCTCCTCTCGTCTGTTTTCCCACCAGTCTGGCGCATGTAATTTCTTGTGACTCGAATCTCCCTGTTGGTTGATTCTCTTCGCTTGGTGAGCGCTTCGATCACATTTCTCCGTTTTTCACCAGCTCTTGTTGCCTCTACATTCGTCGTCTGTTTGCACGTTTACTACTGCTACCTGCACAACCCCACGTCATTCATTCCGACTATAACCTCCCACACCCCCACACGAAGAAACACAGGTCTCCTACCATAACGATATTCATCAACACAAAACATGAGGAATCTTCAATTCGCGGTATTTTCACGTTTTATTTCACGTGTATTTCTCACCAGTTACGGCAGCAACTTCGCCATCTACCCGACCCTCGCGGCCGACTTGTTCGGCGCAACCACCGCCGGACCGAACTACGGCCTGGTCTTCATGGTCTTTGGGGTCGGATCTTTCCTGTTCATGCTGTGGCTCGCCACCGAAGCCAAGACGAGCGGCCAGATATTCCTAATGTGTGCGTGCATTTCCCTCTCGGGGACTGCCAACGTCGCGCTGCTGTGGTCACGCCAGCGGCGCCGCGGGAAGCTGGCGACTGGATACGTCTCGCGTGTGCCGTAAACGTTTTGAGCTGTTATTTGTCCTTATCTGTGCCCCCCCCCCCCCCCCCCCCCCCCCCCCCCCCCCCCCCCCCCCCCCCCCCCCCCCCCCCCCCC